ACCATGCATTACATTCTTCTGTACTATTACATTTGTTTGTATGATACAAGTATATTATTGTATTTTCTGAGAAAAGTATTAAAAATACCAAGCTAAAAAGACACGTCAAATTTTCAAAGAGGCCTAGTCACTAGACAAACATCTGGCTAGATCCTAAGTGACCATATATCTAAAATAATGAAGATATCCCGAGGAACAGTGTCAAAAATGATGTCAACATGAATATCAAAATATAAATGTACTTCAAAAAAATATACCAGTGTCAAAACACTAAGTTGACAGATGATCAGTTAAACATGGTGTACATTCTATGATGGTTTGAGCAGCTTTTTTGTTGAAGTAGTTTAGGGCCTATGATCCCGAGGGAAGGTAAAACAAGAGTAAATTATTACTTAAATTATGATTATAATTCAGTTGGTCTGTGTCAGAAAAATAACACACTAATTCATGTCACTATTATAGAATGGTTCAACACCATGAGGAAAAGTTTAAGTACCTAATAACCTGGCCACCATAGTCACCAGATTTAACTTTAAGTACCTAACCTGGCCACCACAGTCACCAGATTTAACTTTAAGTACCTAACCTGGCCACCACAGTCACCAGATTTAACTTTAAGTACCTAACCTTAACCTGGCCACCATAGTCACCAGATTTAACTTTAAGTACCTAACCTGGCCACCACAGTCACCAGATTTAACTTTAAGTACCTAACCTGGCCACCACAGTCACCAGATTTAACTTTAAGTACCTAACCTACTGAACAGGAGAGATTGTGTTTTTTATGTTGTCATCTATCAGTCATTGACTGAACAGGAGAGATTGTGTTTTTTATGTTGTCATCTATCAGTCATTCACCTTTTTTACTTTACTTTTACTACTTTTATTGTTATTGTCGTTGTGATGTTTAGATCATTTTTTTGTACTATCGAAATTGCTATTTTAAATGACAGTTGTAGGTTATTGAAAGTGTACTCCATTTTACTCTTACTCATATGGTCTCAAAGGAAAAAACTTACACAAACTTGCCTTTCAATTTCAGTACTTGTATGCATACGATATCCCAAAAACATTTCAACAAATTTACCCACACACTGAAACAAATTTAACATAATTTCTGGACACCCTGTACAATTTTTATGTGTATTATTTGTTGGTGCCAGTGCTAACTATGTTAGAGAAGAAGGTGAGAAATTAAGAAAATGTTTTAATGCATCCTTAAAATAAATAATTATAGTGCACAAAAATGAGCACGATTACTGAATTTTAATTACTTCTAAAATATCAATATTTAGGTTCATTTGGATTTATCGAAGGGAAAAACAAAATAGTAGTGGTTTTTGTTTTTCTACAATTGTTACTAAGAAATTAAAGAGTTACCATCCAGACTGAAGAGAGATTTTATATTTAGTGTTCCTCAGAAAATTCCACTGAACCAGTTACAAAGTCATCCTCCAGTACCAACACCAAAATCACCATCCCTGCTGCACGATAAAAGTTCGGCAGATAATCTCTCAGTTTCTCCATCTAGAACTTCCGTTCAAGAAGTCTTGTCTCTTGCTGATATCACAGTCCCTTTACAAAGTATACAACCAGGTATTGTAACATTTCCTGCTCAAAAAAGCTAAGGTCAATTATATAAAGTTTGACAGCCACGTGTCGTGGGTCGGGGTCTTTCTGGACTCCCAGTTACTCGACAAGAAAGAGTCAATACACAAAATGTTTGAAAAACAACAATCTTTATGACTAACAATTCAAATGGAGACAAACACAGTACAAGACAAAACAATAGCAAGTTTTTGTAGTGGGTTTGTGTAACTTTGAGAAGAGAGCATGTAAAAATATGCTTTTATTGGTTTTTCTAACCAATTCAATTAGCTCCCTCCATGAACATACTCATAGCCCCACACTGTAAGCTATCTGGCCACTGAACAGGAGAGTTTGTGTTTTTATGTTGTCATCTATCAGTCATTGTCATCTATCAGTCATTGAGGAGAGTTTGTGTTTTTTATGTTGTCATCTATCAGTCATTGACTGAACAGGAGAGATTGTGTTTTTTATGTTGAACTGATGACTTTCCTGTGTTTTAAATTCAAGATGTCATGTTTCAGTGTCAACTGATGACTTTGTTTTAATTTCAAGATATCATGTTTCAGTGTCAGCTGATGACTTTCCTGTGTTTAAATTCAAGATGTCATGTTTCAATGTCAACTGATGGCTGTACTTAGAATTAAAAGATGGTTTTAGTAACTAGCTAATCAGTAGACCTTGTGATATCATTTTACATTCCCAGCTTTCAAGGATCTGGATTATTTCATATTGAATGTCCAAAATTCAAAGTTTAATGCCTGTTAACATTTCTTTGGATGTAGAAAAAAAGTTGGCTATAATTTGTTTCCAAATCTTGTGTAACATTTAAAGCAAACATTTTAAAGAGTATAAAACTTGGAAATAACAATCAGTCATATGGTGAAACAAATCTTTCAGCTACAGTTAGTTTTGTGTTCATTCGTTTTACTATAAGTCATGATATAAGGTGATAAAATTATTATTATTATAATATTAGAAATATTGGTTTTAAAAACCTATTTAGAAACATTTATACCAACCTCAGAACTTCATGAGTGACAGATGTTTTACTAGTATTATAAAAGTGTAATAGGTCAAATGTCAACAACGAAAGAGTTAAGCCAGAAGTTTACCTGGAGTAAAGTCCAGGAGATGAGTTACACAACCAAACTACTAACAACACATACAATAAATAATTCTTGTTATTATTAATTTTTTCATAAAATTATCTAATAATGTTTTTTCAGTTAAACCCCCTCTTTCCCCATCTTGTGAAAAGCATAGAGAGGACACCGAGAGGACCACTGGATTAAAAGGTTTAGAAGAATTAGATGTTATAGGTCAGTATCTTCTCAAGAAAAGTTTACCGACAAATGCACCGTCCAAATCAGAATTTCCAAGGTAAATTTGTTTGGTTTTCTCCACTAGAATTAAGTAGCTTCTCTTAAACATTGTGTGAAAACACGACATTTTCATGTGTTAATATAAACTATGGGTTTAAACTGTAGGAAATACACATTTGTTGAGTCATACAATTCAGTAAAGAACATTTATTATGGGCTTTATTGAACAAACAGCAATTTGCACAACCACTAAACCTAACTTTAAAAGAAAATCACTTTCAACACCCTAATATGAAATTCACCTGTGAAATTAAAAATTCAACTTTCTTTCCTTGCTGTTGAGGTTCAAAACAAAACAAAACCTACGTCTACAGAAAGAAAACTTTTACTGATTTGCACACGCACTTTGAAAGATTTTCCCAAATTTTTTATACTGAACTTAGTCTCATTTCTTCTCAACAGGGCCTACTTAATCTGCTTGGATTTCATTTACACTGAAATAACTTAAGAAAAAATGGGTATCCTTCATCTTTACTAGAAAACGTGACTCGTTACTTTCTTACTAAGAAAAGAACTCCATCTATTAATATTCAATCATGTTCCAAATTCCCTCTAATACTTGTTATTCCTTACTTTGGAAAACAAGGTCTCATTGTTAAAACCCAACTCGGTCATTCCAGATTAAACTCCGTATTGTCTTCAAATCATCACTTTGTATCAGTAACTTTTGTAGAACTAAAGACATTTTACTTTCACTCCTACGTTCAAAAGTTGTACATAAATAACCACGTAGTAGTTGTAAAGCAAGAATTCTTGCCATTTACGAGTACGTGTCTTTAAGTCTACATATTATGAATGAAAATCCAAGCCTCAACAGAAATTCCAACTTTTTCCCCTTGCTTTATTCAAATAGCTCTCTCTCTTCTTGAAATTGAATATTTTATAATTTCCTAACACTATTCATTGTATTGTTATTTTAGTAATTACACTAAAGATTGCCCCCATCATTATTATCAATGATGTTTACAACTGTTGCCATGGCTTTACTATTCATTATCACACTTCTACTTTCAGTTTGATTTCATTTCTAATATTGTTTTTTTTTTGCCTGGGAACGTAGTTGGTTAATTGTCATTTCCAAAACTTCTTCGTTTCCCAACTTTAACTATTATTCTTTCCTTTTCCCCCTACAATCAGTAAATAAACTAATTTGTTTGTGATGATTCTTTGTAATATACTTCTTCATCTTTACTACACTTGTTATTACTAAATATCTATTAAAAGATAAAAAAAAACTATGCTGAATCACCTTCACATTCTTCCAAATAGTTAAATCCTTGTTGCAACTTTAACTACAGTTGTTTTTGTAATCACTTGAAACTGTAGCCTGATTCAAACACATTTAAGCACAGTGCTTCATATAACATATCTTTTATAGAATCTTGATAAGTTTTAAAAAATTATTTGCTTCAGTTGTTTTCTCCACCAGGTGAATATTTTAAAAGTTAATGTTTTTTTCAGGGTCTCCACACTACAGACTTTTAAAGTCTATTAAATTTGTTGACTAGACAATTTAAAAAAGACATTATATTTACAGGCTAATTTCTTTGCTTATAACTGCATACAGGTTTCTGTTAAACTTGGCATGAGGGATCTCATGTTTTTATGTTTTGATTTTTCTCCTTTTGTTTTTTAATATTATCTCATTGAAACTAACGTTTTTGTGTGTGTAGGTTCAATGTTGGTTATTAAATTAAAATTTATCATTTTTAACACATTTTCTGTTTCTGAGATATAGAAAAACCTTAAGGTATTGGTCTTGTTACCTTCCTTATCGACTGCATGATTTAGATCATATGTACGTAACCAATTGATGATTTTATGATACCCTAAGAACTCAACTGATGACTTTGTTTTAAATTCAAGATGTCATGTTTCAGTGTCAACTGATGACTGTGTTTTAAATTCAAGATGTCATGTTTCAGTGTCTTGCTTTGTCCCTGCCACTTTAGCATTGTTGCTGCTTTGTCCCTGCCACTTTAGCATTATTGCTGCTTTATTCCTGCTACTTTAGCATTATTGCTTACCTAGAAATACATTAGTTAGATAGACAGTTGCATTGAATTTAGATTATAGTTTTCGATTTTTACTTAACTATGTGTTATGTATGTTTTAAGATGCATATTTAAAAGGTTTAATAATTTTTTTTTATATAAGCCAACACCTGCTCTGTTCACAAGGGATAGTGTAATTCGCGAATGCCACCACGTTCTACCGAGGGCTAAAGTTTCTCTGCCAACTATGTAGTAATATTGGCCAGGGATGCCCATTGACGTGTGTAAAAATAACAACGCTAAAGCACAGGATTGGATAATAGATTATTAGAGTCAATTATATGTGAAAATGTAAAGGCATGCAAAAAATGATGTTTTAAGATTGTCTCGTGAAGTATTAAAAAGTATGTAAATATTTATTAAATATTTCATTGTAATGTACTATATACTATAAGTTGACGATAATAGCTACAGTTAGTAATATCATAGAGAAAATAGAAAAATAATCTAACATAAATGTTGACATTCACTTTGGAGGTTCTGGGGGTTATGCAAATGAAATTTGAAACTGATAAGTTGTAAAAAAAAGTATTTTTTTATGCTCATGTTGTTTTGTTGTTTACAGGAGAGGCTACTTGGGTACACTCCCATGAACTTAGAGTTAATATGTATACAAATATTAATGGAGAAGCAGGCTTCTGCCTTAAAGTTAAACTTTCTGTATCTTTTTTTTACTCTGTTTACCACAGAAATTGTGCTCAGAACTTTGGGGCTGTGGATGCCCTATAACAGTGATGGTCAAACTCCCATGTTTGATCAGATGAGAGTTGATTGTTGGTGCTGTTCTCTAGCTGTCATATGTCAGTTCAAATTTAGAGATGGCTGTACTAAGATAGCCCTTGTTCAACATTCCATAACATTCTGAAACAAACATTATAACTATTAGAATCATTTAATTAATGCTTATCTATTTTCATTCAGGTTTGAGTGATGGACAAGAGGGTATATCTACACATCAGTCAGTGTCTACTGTAAATGGTATGAAAATCCCCGGTCATCTAGATGACCTTGATCACTTATTTTTTGTTGGTGGAAACAGTAAACCAGAAATCCCAACTTCGGTAAGAGTCGGTGTTTTGCCCGAGAGTAGCAGTTCTGTTACAGTTAAGAATGCAACAGAGAACAACTTGTCACCTTTCAACTCTCGACTGTCAAACCAACTGGTTGCTACATCAAACTCTCCAGCAACTGTTGCATCAATATTTGATGTGGAAGAAAACATGATCAGTGGAACAAACCTTCTTCAACCTCTCAATGCAAGTATGTCAACTTTTAGTAGTGTATTGTAATGTCAACTGTGTTTTAATTTCAAGATGTCATGTTTCAATATCAACTGATGACTTTGTTTTAATTTCAAGATGTCATGTTTCAATACCACTTTAGCATTGTTGTTGCTTTGTTCCTTCCACTTTAGCATTGTTGAAGGAACAAAGCAGCAACAATGCTAAAGAGGCAGGGACAAAGCAACAACAATGCTAAAGTGGCAGGAACAAAGCAGCAACAATGCTAAAGTGGAAGGAACAAAGCAGCAACAATGCTAAAGTGGAAGGAACAAAGCAGCAACAATGTTAAAGTGGCAGGGACAAAGCAGCAACAATG